GGCAGTCTGCATTCTTCTTCTGTGCTTGCATTGTGACACCTACAGTATGCATTTTAAGTAGCATTCATAACAGCAATAATGAGGCTTTCTTCTGCAAAAAAAAAAAATGATATGTGTGGTGGTGCAAAAGATTGTGACTGATGTGCACAAGAATGAAAAAGTCAACCAATAAGAAACTTTGACAAAAGAGACGTGGGCTGTGTACAGATTATGTGAAATGCCATTATAAGACATCGTCTAGACCAGGGGTTCCCAACCTGGGGTGCTCCCACCCCCTGGGGGTGCGAGACAATATTCCAGGGGGTGTGAGAAAAGTCCAGGTAAATAATAGGATATTGGCTATATGATGGCATTTTTATTCCAGGGGGTGCGAGGTTCAAGTGAAATTTCTTTAGGGGTGTGGGGTGAAAAAAAGGTTGGGAACCACTGGTCTAGACAATGGAGAGAAGGATCTGTACATTGATTACCATGCAGACTATATCAAAGAAAGTCACACAACCCACAACTCAGCATCTAACCCTACTTTAACCAATCCACCATCACCCAAGACTAGGCACACATGCCCCCAACTACCTCAATTCAAACTACAACTGGCCTTAAATACAAGCTACTCAATGCAAGAAGCCTTGTAAATAAACTACCTGAATTTCTCCTCTTACTAAATACGGCTAAATTCGACATCATATTTGTCTGTGAAACATGGCTCAACACATCTCTCCCTGACTCCATTATCTCAGTAAGAGACTATCCTTTTTACCAATCTGATCGTGAAATCCGTAGAGTCCTTACATCTAAAAAACATCCAAGTTACCCAAGAACTTGCTCTTCCTGAGACCATTATCTGTGAACTGACCTTAAATATCACATTTCGGTTCTTACTATGTTACAGAATCCCTGATTAAGACTTCGAAAATGTAAACAAGCTACTAATATACTACTAATATGGGCAGCATCCTGCCCACACGCTTTTATCTTTCTTGGTGACTTCAATCTATCTCATATTAACTGGACCCTAAACGAATGTACAACTGAACCCATACATGTAACCTTCTACAATGCTGTAACAAATCTGGGACTTGAACAACTAGTAACCAACAATACTAGGCTTAACAACTGCATCGATCTCATCTTCTGCAATAGTTTGAATTCAATTTACGGAATACAAATTAAAGAACCCTTTTCCAACAGTGACCACAACATGATTGACTTTTGTCTCAACATACGTCCACACAAAAATCATCACAACAACAAAATCCCCAATTATAACTTCAAAAAAGGCAATTATGATCTTATAATCAACGATCTCTCTTCCCTTGATTGGCAATTTCTATTCACTGAATGCAATATTGTTGAAGACCATTACAACATATTCTTACTAGAAATCAAAAGAGCCATCAAACTATATGTACCAATAGCAACTCCCAAAACCAGGAAAAACAGATTACTCATAACAATAAGGAAGCTTCAATCTAAAAAGAGATCACTTTGGCGAAAAAACAAATCTGGTCACGTTGCCAACTTCAAAAGCCAATACAAAAATCGATGCCACCAGATAAAAACTGAATGTACTAATTATCACATTAAACAAGAGGAAAACCTTCTACGCACAAATTCCACCCATGCTTTCTACAATTTTGTAAACAACACACTAAAAGACTCAAGGTCTATCCCACCCCTGAAAGGACCCAATGGCAAAGACTGCAACAACGACACCATCAAAGCAAACCTCTTTAACACATTCTTTGGCTCAGTATTTGTAAACGGCAATGGATCAAGCCCAGTACTTCCTAGTCGAACCACAGACAACTACAATGATCTAATACATATCCATTTTACAGAAGACATCGTTGAAAAAGCATTGTGTAATCTAAAACCATCCCTATCTATTGGACCGGACGGAATATATGCCTACTTCTTATCCACTGCCATAGCTGAACCTAGACCAGACTCTTTGAAAAATCTTTTAGGACCAGCTCCTTGCCAAAACTATGGTCACAAGCCACAGTCATCCCATCTTCAAAAAGGGAGACCCAGCCTAGTTGAAACTTACAGACCAATCTCCTTATGCTGCGTCACCTGTAAAGTCATGGAATCAATTATTAACCAATCCATTATCCTCCACTTAGAGACAAACAACCTACTCTCTAATAAACAATTTGGTTTCAGAAAAAATCTATCCTATAATCTGCAACTCTCACACTGCAAAAACATATGGACTACATAACTCTGTCAAGGCAAAGCAATAGACACAATCTACATAGACTTCTGTAAAGCCTTTGATTCAGTGGTACACGACAAACTACTCCTAAAACTAAAATCTTATGGCATCTCTGGACACCTACATAACTGGATAGAAGCATTCCTGTCAAACAGACAACAAATGGTCAAAATTGGGAGTGTCCTATCAAATTCTGTACCTGTCAACAGTGGTGTCCCCCAAGGCAGTGTTTTAGGACCAACTCTCTTCATACTCTACATAAATGACCTCTGTGATCATATTAAGAGCATCTGCATTCTTTTCGCTGATGATGTAAAGCTATTCAACACCACAGACAATACTGCTACCCTTCAAAAAGACCTCAACTATGTGTCAGAATGGTCAAACAAATGGCAACTTCAAATCTCAGCAAATAAATGCTCTGTCCTACATATTGGCAAAACAAAAAACAAAAAACCAGAACATAAAATACAAGCTAAATAGTCAAGACTTTGTTGAGGATCCAAATTCTGTCAAGGACCTTGGAGTACTCATCTCTAGTGATTTAAGTGCTAGAGCCCACTGTAACTACACAGCCAAAAAGGCATTAAGAGTTGTTAATCTAATCCTATGTAGCTTCTTCTCTGGTAATATCACACTTCTAACTAGAGCATACAAAACATTGCTAGACCTATACTTGAATACAGCTCATCAGTCTGGAACCCATATCATGTATCTGATATTAACACAATTGAAAAAGTCCAGAAATATTTCACAAGAGTTCTCCACTCCTCTACTCATTGCAGAATACCTTATGCCACCAGACTTGAAACTCTAGACCTAGAAAACCTAGAACTATGCCGCTTCCGGTCCGATCTAAATATAGTATATAAAATCATACATTGCAATGTCCTACCTGCAAATGAATACTTCAGCTTCAATCATAACAATAGAAGGGCACACAATAGATACAAACTCAAGGTTAACCACACCAAACTTGACTGCAAAAGGTACAACTTCAGCAACAGAGTGGTCAATGTTTGGAATACTCTACCTGACTCTGTGGTTTCTTCCCCAAACTTTAACCTTAGACTGTCTACTATTGACCTCACCCGCTTCCTAAGAGGCCTGTAGGAGGCATGCATAAGTGCACTAATCATGCCTACCGTCTCTGTCCTATTGTTTCTTTTTATTTTTCTTATAAGTATCTATCTCATGTATTCAAAACTATGTTTATTCTTATACCTGTATCTTGTAAGTGATTGACAAATCTAAATAAATAAATAAATAAATAAATGGGAGAAAAAAGAAAAGAAAAAGACATTGCCTAGAAGGGACACTTTCAAACAAAGGGGCAGGATGTCTTCAAGACTAAATTAAGTTTTCTCCATCTAGCTCCCAAATTTGGATTAAACAAAATACCAAATACTTGATTATTTAGCAGTTGCACCTTCCTTCTGCCACAGAAGAGTGAGATGAATGTTATTCTTTTATCTCAGGTTGTTTGACTAAGGAACTGTTGAGAACTCTCCTGCTACTTTCTACTATAGATTTTGCTTACTGACTACCTGATTTAGTGGCCATTTGAAGTTATGATGGTTGAAGAAAACAACAGCTTCCTGATCTGTCCCTGCATCTATGACTGTTGCAGCATCTTGTGGTCACAAAATTGCGATTCAGACAGTTTGCAACCAGTGCATATCTATGATTGTTGCAGTGTCCCGCAATCAGGTGATCATGCTTCACAACCAGATTCTAACAAGCAGAAATAATGGAGAGCTTTATCTAGCCAATTTACACATGGGAGTTAAGCGGCTTAAGGCTTCAGAGCAGAAAAGCCCCAGTTAGCTCACCCCCACCCCGCATTTCCCCGAATTCCCCTTTTACAGTAAAGGAGTTATCCCTCTCCCACCCACCCCATCATATAGCCTTAGACTGAGTCCAATTTTTATTAAACAGCTTAAAACTCCATAACGATCTTATATACATCTCTCAGCCTTGGATACCGTCACTGCACTTGACATAAAAGAAGCATTAAGGAGAGACACCTCCTTTCACTGTTCTTGGCTTAGCATGTGCATCTTCTCCCTTTGTCTTCAGCTATATTTGCAGAAGGGGGGATTCCATCAGATGCCCAGGTTTGATATTTTCCACAACCTCAATTTATGCCTTTTTTTCAATATCATCCCCTTGTGTTGAATAAGATTACTATTTTAAGCAGCAGGTGTTAGCATATCATGAAAAGAGAGAACCCCAACAAATAATTATGTATTATTGCTGTATTTTTACTGTAACCTGTGAAGACAAGTGCATTCTGGTTCATTTGCCCAAATAACATAGTCACCCTTAATCAATATGCACCTTAATTTGGATGAAAGAGCACCATGTCCTGCAAGGGCTCTGATCTTTTAATCCCACGTTGTTCTGTAAAGGACAGATATCTCTGTGATGTTCATCTGTTTGCCTCTTTCCACTTCTGCCTTCTTTCCAATCTAGTGTTTCATTTCAACTCTTTTCCTGAAGCTCTTGATCTTAAATTAGTGTGATTAAAATAAATATGCAGACCCATTGTAATTGGTGGCCCTATATCATCATCTTGCTACTATTTGCAATAAAACTCGTGCTTTAGCCTTCCCCCCTCTACAGAAGGAACTTCTCTAAGTTTTTATAGCTTTTATAATAATTTCTCTGGGGTCTCCATGCCTTTAAACAGATGGTTTGCCAAGAAAACACAACCACTACTTTCCCCACCGCTCTGGGGCGTCTTCCTTTGTGTAGCTGATCATATATAACTACAACTTACCAGTTTGCGCTGACACCACTGGCAAATTCCACACAGGACAATGGTGACACTAAGGCTAATGGTGATGATGACTGAAACCAGGAGGACATCACGGGAGGGTGTCCCTGAGAAGAGAAAGCCCAAAGTTAGCCACGTCTCCATCACATTGCCACATTGTCCTTTAAAGTGTTTCACTTGCTTTTTGTCCACATCTCTCAGCAATCCTAAAAAATGAAAGGTCTGCTGGCCATCAGAACTGATGAATCGTTTCTTCTCTACGCATGTGTCAAGTGCCTCAGATTCACTTCTCAAGAACTTTTTGTATTTTGCTTGGATTTCTACTGGGCTTAGTACTTAATACTATTTTCTGTTAAACTCAACAAACATCTGGTTGAATCAATATTTTTTAATACTTTGTTCTAATTTCACCTTGGTGGAGGAGGGTAAGAAGAAAAAACAACTATAAATTCTTGGTAGTTCCTTTGCCAAACAAGGTCTCAGACTGGGAAGATCAAACCAGGGATTGAAACACTGCTGCTTTGGCTGTTAATGGAGAGATTCAGCAAATGTCCCTAACATGGACAGGGCAAGCCTTATTGCAATTCAACACCCAGAACCAACCATAGATTATCATTAGTATGCTTTATGATTTCATGGCACTCCAGCTGCACGCCTTTCTATAGAACAATTATAGCAGAAAAAGAACATTGCATTAAAAAAAAAGTACAGATCAAACAACTATTAAGAACTGCTCCTCTCTCACAAATTAAAAATAAAGAAAAATAAAAGTAAAGGTTGGGAGGGGGGGGGAAGGAAAGATGATGTTGTGGGGAGGAAATCTGTATTTAGCAATAGCCATAGCACTTAGACTTACAGTATATGCTGCTTCACAGTGTTTTACCGCCCTCTCTTAAGCAGTTTACAGAGTAAGCCTATTGCTCCTAATAATCTAGGTCCTCATTTTACCCACCTTGGAAAGATGAAAGGCTGAGTCAACCTTGAGTTTGGTGAGATTTGAATTACCAAATTGCAGGCAGCCAACAGTCAACAGAAGTAGCCTGCAGGACTGCACTCTAACCACTGTGCCACCATGGCTCATTTAACTGCTTTTTGAGCCTGAATTATCCAGAGAAATAGTGTTCAGATATCATTTTCTCTCTCTTACATCTCTTAAGATAGTTGGGAAGGAGATGGGTTTTAATCCCACCATTTTACTCCTTGGATTTGTGCTACTTTGCTGTTTTTATTCAGATATTTTATAAACATTGGAGCAAAGGATCCTGAACAAGGGTTGTTGTTTTTCTTCTAGATAACAGTAGAGAGATAAATCTTCTTTTCACTGCTGATAAAGCAGATAGTAGAGAAAAATATCCCCAAGTCACAGGCCAGAGAAAGTAGCCTGCTAGGTTGTGGGTTGTCCATGTGTGATCTAGAATTTAAATAGCACAGGTTCTAATGAGAGCTCAAGAGAATGAATCCATATTCTAAAATAGTGGCCTTGACCTAGAAAAGTATGGCAGTATTAAAACTAGAGCTACTTTAATTGCAATTCACATGGAAGAGTCCCAGTTGTTTAGAGCTAGCTAAGTTAAGTGGATGATTTGGCTACCTCCACAAGATACCGTATATATGGGTCAGGAGTTTTCAATAGCTAAGCACAACTTTAATTCCAGACATAGGCCTCCATTTAAACATGCATTCCATCAAATGTACACAGTTATACAAGGTATCATGACTCAAGCCACATTTAGCAAAGAAAGATAAATGGAAAGCAACAGATAAGTAGTCAGGCAAAGCAAGTACTGTGTAACATTTTCTTCAACAGACTGTAATTCAACATTTATTTCATTATTATTTTTCTGGTATAAACAACTAGGGAAAATTTAGAGCAACCAAGCAACAAATCAACAGAAGAAGCTAGAATTCAAAAAATTCAAGGTAATACCTACTGAGAAGATGTAACACTGTGTCTTAAATTAACAGTAGCCTCTTGTGTAAGAGGGTGAAGTGGTATCATGAAAAATCCAATGGATTTCTTTCATTAGAACACAGGAGATGGAAATAAAAGCAGAAAGCTAATCCAAGCATAGGTAATAAGAAATGGTACAGTGTGGCTGCAAAGACTAGTGAGTTGGCTATATCAATAAGCAAATATAGTGTTCACTTTTCTTATTTACTCTAAGATCTTGCACTAATAAACAGAATATTAATTATCTGGGTTGATGATAGAAGATTGCCCATGAAGATATATCGCAGCTACTGAAGAAAGAAGAGGCATGACTATTACAAATAATACTCTCAGCTGTTCAGCCAAAGTCCAGAAAGAAAGGGAAACAAAGCTCCACAGCAAGTAGAAAAGTCTTTATTCGTCCATATATTGTTCTGGGTTCGGGTAACAACAAGCATCAAAAATGATAGTAAAGTCAGCTCTGGTGCACCTCGTAGCCAGAGCTGTATTTATACACCAGATAATAACATAATGAGTTTATTCACCATCCGGTGAACACTACTGCTTAATTTCCAGTCACTATATAATCCTCGATACTGTGCATTCTTCTGTTAATTATCCACCCTCTTTTACCATACCCTCGCCACAGCACACTCATATCCACATCCCACCAACTCCCCTGTGCCCTCCCAGTCTATATTCACCCCCTGAGGTCATTATTTTAATGGTCAGCATGTTCATCGCTCTGCCGATAACCGCCTGCAACTTGTGATAGTTCAGCGTCTGACGTCATCAGGGCTCGTCGTCCATTTTGATCAGCAATTCCGACCTAGTGTCGGTCGGCTGGCAGGTGCTTCCTACCATGGTAGAATATTGTCATGTCTCCAGGGCATGCTGGAGCTGTGACACGATGTGTTGTGCCATGTCGGACTATGCTATTGAGTGGGGAAGTGCTGTTAACCATCCAACCTGGGGCTTCGACTATTTCACAGAGATAATGAGCCTTGCTGACGTCACACGCTGAGCTGTTACAGCCTGCGGGCTGTTGTAGACAAAGTGATTTGGTTGCTGCTATTGAACTAACAATCTCAGGAGGGGTGGAGGGTCACTTCATAGGCATAAATACAAAGTTGGAATACGATATTTGTACAAGTATAGTAAATAGGACTAAATAATTAAAGGATAAAAAGCACAGTGTTTAGGGTGTTACATGGTGACTGGATGTGATCCAGTAGCGCTCACCGGATGGTGGATAAACTCATTAAGTTGTTAACTGGTGTATAAATACAGCTCTGGCTGCAAGGTGCGCCAAAGCTGACTTTAATTCCTTTTGGCTACTCATTGTTACCTGAATCGGGAACATTGTATGGACGAATAAAGATTCATTTGATCATTACCTTGAGACCTTTGTTTCCCTTCCTGCCTGGAATTCGATGAAACAGCTGAGAAGAAAGTCAGCTCTCTTCAAATCCTCTTGTGCGTCTGTCATCCCCCCCCCCAAACCCCATGAACTGTTTGGTGTGCTGCATTGGGGAGAGATGGCGGAAGGCATAAACATGGATTTGGTTTTGCCTCTTGCATCAGAGGTTGGATGAGGAAGAGATTTCTCTGCGGGATGATGGAGTGCGTGAGTCTACAGAGGGGTTTATAAGTGGAGACACGCCATCTGCTGGTGATACTGGAGATATTCCCAAAGATGTACAAAGAGTTACTAGACCAAAATTATGGTAAGATCGTAGGAGTGATTTGGAGTTCCAGGAGGAGTGTGGGGGACGAAGCATTTGTGGAAAACCCCCTGCTTTTGCGGCTTTCAATACTGGATTGTTTGAGAAGTGGAGAGAAAGGAAAATAGTTGTGGAAGATGCCTGGAGTACCTTCACCTCCAGTTTGGGAGCCAGTACTATAGAACTATTAAGAATAAAGTATGGAGATCTGAGTATACAGGATTCCAGCCCAAAAGGAAGATGGGAGGGATCAGGAGCTTGTACTGATGATACTTCATATTTCAGTTCTATCCCTAGGGACGGGAGAGAACGTAATAGTAAGAGGACTGGAAGTGACTTGACACCTGGATTCGATGCATCATTGGCTGATATTGCCGGGCCATCAGAACCCAGGACAGGGGGACAAGGCCGATGTCCTCTAGTTTTGCTTGAAGGGAGTCACCACCTCGATGTAGGCAACAGGAGGGTTCTTGGGGTCATCAGGGAATGTCTGGACAGTGGCCACAACATATAGTGTGGGGACCACCACCCTTGCAAACTACATTTGATGGGAACCCAGACCATATCACACTGTTCCTAAGCCAAGTGGTTAATCACCTGGAATGATATGCATCTTGCTATCTGTCCCAGTGGTCCATAGTGGTGGCTATTACGGGAGTTTTAACAGGGGATGCAGCGGACTGGGTTGCGGAGTTACATAGTGAATGGGCACGAGAGTTGGTAGATGTCAGTCTGTTTCTGGATTCACTCCGTAATCATTTTGAAGATAGATCCCACATCCACCAAACTGAGGAAGCTATAATGGCATTGAGGCAAGATGGGAGACCAGCAACTGAATATGTATGGGATTTCTGACATTTGGCTGGAAAGTTAAGGTCTTGGCCTGAGCGTCTGTTGGTCCGAGAATTCTGTGCTGGCTTAGATCGTGGTTTAAGACAGGCTTGTCTATATAGAGGAGTCCCTCAACATTTGACAGAATGGTACAGAATAGTGGTTGAACTAGATGTCGGGCTAAAGGAGTTCAGAACCAAGCCTGATTCCTTCTGAAAGGTACCTAAAGTGGATCTCAATGTCATGGGAGGTTGAAGCAGATCAGGTGACAGTCCACCGAGTGGCAGGAGTCGCCCAGCTATGCGGTGTTTCAGATGTAATCTAGTAGGGCATAGGGCATTGGAATGCCCTGAACTTGCCAATGAAGGTATGAAACAAACAGCAAAGGCACCTCTGGGAGCAGTGACAAAATTTGGTTTTAGAAAACAAGGAAGTAGTACCAAAAGATCACAAGGACTGCTTCAGAAAACAAAGGGGGAAGCGTCACCATCAAGACACTGTCAATTGGATGAACGTAGTCAACCCAGAGCAGTGTCGGGGTTGGATGATAGTGGTGAGGAAAGCCACAACGATACGATGGTGAGTGCCCCAGTTCACCCTTTCGTGATACCAGTGATATTGG